CGTCGTTCTCCTTAGCTGCTTTTAAATGACTGCTGGCGGAGACATAAATACAGTGTAAGAAAATTCTTTTTCTGTAATTGTTTCCTTATAGAAAGGTTGGGTTCTTTTCCACCTTAGACATTCCGAATTCGTTCAAAATATGCTAATTTAAAACACAGAATTCTTTCAGTGCTGCTCCGGGGTTTTTGGACATGTACTGTTTCTTCAATTTAATAGTGTTCGCTTTATTTTTGTAGAAACGAAAAATGTTTTGCAAGTTATGGATCATTTCTCCACCCTTTCTTCAAATATTTGTCGTATTCCAGCTGTGCGCAGGCGTTTAGTTTTTCGCATCGTGTTTTTACATATTCGTAATTTAAATTTTTTTTAATATAATCAATTGGTGGTAGTTCATGATTGTGTGTGGATTAATATCACAACACTGAGGATTTGGCAAAAGCCTTTTTCATCTATTAAAAAACAACACTTACGGGGCAATGTTTATTGTAAGAACAACATTTTTTTCTTTGAATCGACATACTTTAAGCATTGTTGACGCTATTTCCATTTGAATGAGGAAATAGCGTCAATGACTTTATTTCCAAATTTTTGTTGACTTTATTTCGCTTTTGAAAAGGTAATAATGTCAATTGACTTTATTTCGCACCAGGGTGGGAAATAAAGTCAATTGACCTTGTTTCCATTGACCTTATTACCTGTCACCTCTGCCGCAGCTGCGATGACCCAGGCTGAAAAGAGACAGTCGACCACTTGCTCTGCGAGTGTCCAGTCTTCGCAAGAATGAGGCTAAAACACTCGGCAAACCATTCCTGCAGAATATTTCAGAGTGCAGCTGCCTCTCTCTGTATGATGTACTGAAATTTATTAAAGGCGCTAAATGGCTGTAGGTTGCACGAGTGGCGGAATCAAAATGGCAAACTTGCTAATTGCTTGTCACCAGGGTGGCAATCCACTTAAACCAACCAAACTTACTATATTTTAAAAGCACTTAGATAATTCCATTCGTAATAGACCGTAGTTTTGGGGCGAGAATGTTATCGACTGAGCTCAAATACGAAAAGTATTCTCAGAACTGAATTTTTTCCCTTAGCGTAAAATAGATTTAGCTTTTAAACAAATCAGGACAAGCATGTGAGATTGAGCATTTGTTTTTGTTAATATGGCCTCTATATAATGAAGTAAAGTATATAATGAAGAGAACAAGTTACGCCTTCAACTGTTGTTCTGCTATGTCAGTGTTCTGGGTTCCAGGGACCAGCAGCATTAATGGAAATGGAACGGCTGACAAGCTAACCCGAAACGGATCAGTTATAGATATTTAAGTGGCAGAAGAGGTTACGTACCACTAAACTTGCCATGGTCGGATCTCAAGAGAGATTCCCGAAGCATTGTCGTAATTTTGTTTGGCGTCTGTCTGAATTCCCCCAAATGTATTTTATTTTTTTCACCAGAACAAGACCTGAAAATGATAAACTATAGTAAGAACAAGTGTTCTGATGCTGGACAAATTTCTTCAATCACAATCTTGCTTAAAATATAGCCTAGATCGTCCCAAGTTTAGAAAAATTTAATTAAGATGACTCGTTCTGACGTTGGAAAAGTGATTTTAACAAAGTCTGTGTTCATCAGTCCATGAACTGAGCCTTAGGTGCAAAATCTAGGTTTGGTTAACCTGTATTGGCACAGTAAAGATTTCCTTTAATAAAGACTACTTTTACAACACTAAGATAGTTTCTTAAAAGGAATCTGCTAGAACATCACCTCTAACAGAGCCATACTGATCCTGATATAGTTATGTAAAAGTGCTTAAACTAAATAGTCGTAATTGATGCATGTGTTCAAAATTTCTGAAACAATGATTGACTTCAGCAACGATAACTAACCTCAGAAACCATTTCCAGTGGTCAGATGAGATCAGGCATGTGAACTTTATTTATTTTCTTCACAAAGTTCTCTTATTGAAATAGCTTGTTTCCTCCACCTGAATAGACTCTAGGACAAAAAACCTTAACTGGAGTAATATATATATATTTTTTTTTCAATAAAACTCAACATATTAAAACTCAGCCAAAAAAAAAAAGATTTTCAAATTTTGTTTAACCTCCTTAAAAATATTTTCAATCTAAAACTTTCTTAAAACTCTTTCTTGTGATACATTTTCAATTAATTTATTCCCTGAATTGAAACCCAATTTGAGTTTTTAAACAGATGGCAACCCTCCTACATATAGTTTAGAAATCAAGGCTTTCGGTTGATACACATATTGCAATAAATCATTTAACATTTTAATTTGATTTTTGTTTTAAAACAGATGGCAACCTTCTTCAAGCACCTTAGACAATTTTACATGTTCAAACTAAAGATGTCTAAACTTTGACTTGCGTATTATTTAATTTAATTATACTTTTGAAACCGGTGGCAACCGTCTTCAAAAATTTCAAGCTATAGGTATATATATCAATTACCAAATTCCCTTATTTCAAGCAAATTTTTATTTTTCAAAATATTGGCAACCCTCCTACATGTAGTTTAGAAATAACGACTTTTCAAAACCATTTCGATTGAAATGCATATTGTCATAATTAATTTAAAATAATTGAATTTAATCTTGAAACAGGTGGTAACCCTTGTTAACTACTTGTATATTCTAAATATTAAAACTAAAGGTTTCCTAACAACCTTTCGTTTGACACCAATACTTTATTATAAAGTGCGATCAACTCAACAAAAAAATTACGACTATTTTTTTTTTTCATAAATCAATGCATAGGACGTACCTCCAATGAATTCAAATATTTTTTTCTTCATGATTATATGCCCAACTAAAAAACTAGTGTTATATCCGTTTTTGTATTCATTGCGTTGAATTTGTTTGCAGTTTAATTCGCAATCTGAAGTTTGAGTTGACTCCCTTTAGATCTAGGTGTGCGATATGTATGTACATAGCTTGCGTATAATTAATTTTCAAAATATTTTTAAACTGCAACCTTTTAAGCCCTTTTCATCTGACGATACTTATGTAATACAAATTTCCAATTAATAATTCCCCTAATTCAAGTGGAATTTAATTCTTTAAACCGGTCGCAGCCCTCCTCTAAGAGTATTGAATTAATTTTATATTTGTCCAAATCAAATTCAAGTTCTCTATCATAAATCGACTGCTGAGTGGATAGGCCGATCTATCTCGGCAGCCAGTTCGCAACGCCCTATCTCAAAAAACTTCTCAAGAACGCGCTATTTCAGAATTCCTTTAAAGGAATACATTTTGAAAGGAGATAGAGCGAACAAAAGTTTGAGAATGGGTGTTTTTCTGAAATAAGGCATTCTTGAAAAGTTTTTTGAGATAGGGCGTTTTCGAACTGGCTGCAAAGATAGGTAGATCTTCCACTCAACAGTCGAAATACAGTATGAAAAATTCCGTTTTTTTGGGCGGTGCCACGCCCCCTTGTCAATCGATCCTATATTTAAAGTTGGGATAAATGACACCAGTGTTAAAGCGCGAAAGCGTAACAAATAAACAAACTCACTTTCGCTTTCACAATATTTGTAAGGATAACGGGACAAGGGCCACCCTATTAATCCTTTCAGGGGCTCTACAATATAGTGGAAGAGAGTAGCTTATAATCGCTGTAAAATGGATGGATAGAGCAAAGGTTTCCCTATCGGGCCTAACTACAAAAGATAGTAAGAAAACTGTCTAACCGAATAATGGAGACTTAGTGCTTCTTCGATTTCCAGTTTGTTTTTTTCTCTGTTCTTAGCAACGCTGTCTTTTCATTATGAAAAGCTTATCTGAAGTTAGCCTGTTTTAGGATTAGCGAAAATACTTGAAGAACTGTCATGGAATATTATTCAACTGGCATTAAGTTTAATTTAAATTACGCCGTTAGCTTGTCGACTAGGTATGACTCAGCCGATGAGCGTTTCACACCATACCACGTACATGTGTATGTACATTAGGGTGGTCCTTAATTGTAGGAAGCAAATTTTGACATCAGATTTCCTAAGCCTCAATCCCAACGTCGATGCTACTATAGTCGAAGATATCCCATATAAACTTTGGCCCCGATTAAAGTCGATTAAGGCGTGGCGCACAGGGGTCAAAGTTCAGATTACCCTATGGAGACGTCTTAACCAACTCCAATCGGGACCAAAAGTTGTATGTGTTATCTTCGACTTTAGTAGTATCGATTTTGGGTATGAAATGAAAAAAATATTTTTAATTTTTTGAGTCTCCGTGGAGCAGCTGGCCTTGGACGCCATTGCAAAACACCTTAACCGACTCCAATCGGGACCAAAATTTCTATGTGATATCTTCAACTACGGTAGTATCGGTTTTTTTTTTGGTATGTGTTGGCAAAAAAATTAATTTTAATTTTTTCAGTCTCTATAGAGGAATCTGAACTTTGGCCCCTGTGCGACACGCCTTAACGGTCTCCAATCGGGATCAAAATTTTTATGTGATATATGTGACCGTCGTATTACCGATTGAAGGGGTGAGACTGAAAAAATCGCTCATTTGATTTTTTGAGTACCACCCTAATGTACACAGATAGGAGTACATTACGATGTGAAAATGCATATTTATTACAAAAAAATAAAAAATAAGAAAGAATCCAGTGTAAAAACGCTTCCCAACACTGTCATCAGCATTCGATAATTCTATTAGAATAATTTGTCATTTCGCACGTCAACTTTGAGTACAGATTCCCAAGTAAAATGCAACTAAGTTACAAAGTGATAAAAAGATGAAATTCTCATAGATACTTACCAATAGAGAAAACACAGCTAAATCTAAGCTTGATAGCACTACGGACTTGATGCGCTGCAGTAGTTACCTGCTAGGTGGCTGACAGAGGGGGCAGAAGGAGAAAAATGCAATTTTTACACTTTTCTTTGTTTAACACTTCGTTTTTCGTTTCGCTTTCGTGCGCGCACAGATAATGTGGCTTTTATGCATGTACTTATTGTTGTTACTGTTGCTGTTGTGAGTTTTTTTGTTGTTGTTGCACACAGTTTGCGGCTATTGTCTTGCCGAGTTTGAATGCAAATTGCAAAGCAGCAAATCGAAGCCGCAATTAAAACGTCAACTAATGACAGCTGAGGTTGAGCTGATGGCGCAGCGACGTCGGATGCAGTTAGTGCAACTCTTGGCTATTGTTGTTGTTGCTATCGTTTCTTTTTCTGTCTGGTTTTTGGCTAGTTGCAATGGAGTGTTGTTGTTGTTGTAGTCACTAATGGGCCGCTAAGAGGCCAGGCGGCTGTTGGTTCTCAGCGGTTTTGCTTTTTGATATCGAACAGTTAACTCGGGGCGTGGCAACACAACCAGCTCGCTTGACAATGAGGGGAGAGGGGGAAGGTAGAGAAAAGCTTGGAAATTTTTTTGCGCAAGCGAGCAGCAACCATTAAAGGATTCCTAAAGCTTTTGTTGCTGCTTTTTTGTTATTCTTTTGCTGCTGCTGGTACTTTTGATCGCTGTTGGCCACACTTGCGGCGCTCCACAGCAAATTAACTGTCAATGCGACAAAGTGCAGTTAGCAAATGCTGCTGCTTGCTGTTTGTTTCGTTTTTGTTGTTCTTGCTTTTCTTGTCTCCATACATACATACATATGTATAACGACAATCACTTCACAGACATTTGCTTGCTTCACTCATCACAACTGTCACTTTTTTGCATATTTTTTTGTTGGAAAAATTTTTCTCACATTTTTTGCTCCTCTTTTTCACTCCCCTTTTTGCTCCCGTTTTTTCTGACTTTCTTAATACTTCTTTTAAAACTTCTTTGTTCACTTTTTTAAACTCGCTTTTTGCTCCCTTTTCGCTCACTTCGTTTGCTCCTTTTTTTCGTTCACTTCTTTTGCACTAACTGTCACAGATTTTTTTTTACCACTTTTGCTTTGCTTCACTTTAACTTCGCTTGCTGCTTGCACTTTTTTGTCATTTACTGCTGCGCAAGGAAATAAAAAAAAAAAATTAAAAAATTCAGAACGAAAAACAATATTTTTTAATCACTGAAAAAATGCAGTTAAATGCTTTGCATTGTTTGGCACAAGCATTCTTGCGGCATTCTTTTTTTTTGCTTTTTTTTCTGCGCGCTGGCCACTGTTTTTACTGCTGTTGTTATTTTAGTTGATGTGCTCATTAATATTTCCTTTGCTGTACTTTCAGTGTTATTCTTGCTGTTGGTTGTTGTTTCTGTTGTATTAAATTCTCGATTTCCGCTTACATTAACACGCGTACACTCATACACATACAAACATACGCACAGCGACGCGCTACAAAAAGCGCAACAACCACAACAAATTGCCAATTGTCTGCTGTAATGTTTAATGTTTTTTGTATTTAAATTATTTTTTTTATTTTCTGTTTTTTTTTTGTGTCAGGTATTCTTTATTTCATTTTGGGCAGTTGATTTCCGCTCATTATGCGGCCCACTGTACATACTCGTGCGCACACAGCAATGCATATTTATGTGTCTAAAACGGTTGAATAATTCCGAAAATGACTCGCTGTTGGTGGCATAAATATTTTTGCGGTCACTCGAAGAATTTTATTTGCATACATATGCAATAAGGGCTTTGGTATGTCTCGCAGATCGACATAAAAGACGACGAGAAAATTTTTTATTATATCTGCTTTAATAGCTAAGTCATACCGAGTGGAAAGGCTAACAATTTTTTATTAAAGAACTGGGTAGAATTTTGGAAACCCACATCAGACACTATGTTAATTTAATACTCCATCCGGAGCCTAGCACGGCTACGATAAATGCAGATCCCCAAACACCGTGCTTCATACCTTGAATCCCAGTCAAAGATCACTTAAACTTAAGTAATACATCCTGGTGGAGCATTCCTCGAAAAAGCAGAGGCAATCACCTCAACCATGATAGCTCTCCGGGTAGACAAGGCCCTTGTTCGGAGGAGAGTCAAAAGGTTAGGCCTGCAGTGGAGAGAATACTCTTCGCTCCTATGGTTTAAAAAATTTAACTATGCAAGGTAACAGTGGCAGGGATAATTTTCTATGATTTCCACTTATTCCTCGTCTCTGAGGCCCAACCCCTTGCCATGCGTGCCCATAAAAACGTGCTATTATTACTCCAACTACTAATATGAGTGAGGAGCAGTTAATCCCAATAAGTGAGAGCTTTAGATCGCTTTACATCAACTTTTTCCCATATATATCTGGAAGTCTGATAGCTGGGTGCCAGGACCCACCTCCTCGAAGAGTTTAGTCTTTAATCTCCGTTTAAAGAAGGTTAAAGATTTGCCCACGTACTGAGCTGATTTGATCACGTCTATTTTCGTCGCTTCCCTTGCCAACTCGTCGGTTATGCAGTGCCTGTATCCAGGCACCCGTACAACAGTCAAGGAACATTTGGCTTTCCGCAGTTCGAATGAATGAATTAATCCTTCAGCATTATACGGCTACTTTGCATCAGCTTGGCTGTCAGAATAGTGATAGACCGTGCTGGGCCAGTGGAAGCTGGGACCTCCTTTGTGGCGTTTTGTTCGGTTTGAAAACCGAACCGGTGGTCCGGTAATGGAAATCTGAGATGTAGTACGAGTTCGCTGGAGTGAAGCCTACTGCTGAAACTTTCGTTTAGCTTGAAAACCTCTGTTTAAATAGCCCCGACCTTCAGTCGTATGCGATCTTCTTTTGTTAAGCTTTTGGACGAGCATATCCACCGATTTGTCATGTGCGTCTCGATGTTGTCACTGAAGTCGAGAGGAGGGACTGCAGTTTTACGCTTTCTCCGAACGGCAACTGGTTTTTGTGGGAAGCTCTCTTTCACTACATAAACACGCTCGCAATTTGCCTGCCGACGAGACGACGGACTTTTAAATGAATTGCTCGTGAGGTAGCCGTATATTGGCAGCATATCTCAGAGAAGCCGGCGCATTAATAGAGCGAATTTAAAGCCGTTTAACTATACTAAGATAAGAAATACAAAGCTCTGATGCCAACACGAAAGGTCTGGTATAGTAGACTTCAAAATTTGTTTTTTGCAAATAACTCAAAACTTGCAGAAGGAATCGGCGGAAGATTTTTCACACCTAAACTTAGGGGTGGTACATTTCGTCTCCCTGATCACTGCTCTGTATGCTAAGCGGAAGTGTTGGCTATCCAAAAAGCATCGCGGAAACTTGCTCAAAAACTTACAGAGACGAAAGAAGCCTTCATTTTCGCTGGCAATCAAGCAGCCTTAAAAGAGCTTTACACTAACAAATAGACAACGCAATTCGGTTACTGAATGTTGTAGACCTCTGAATGAGATAGCCTAGTGCTTGTATCTGATTGAGCTCTTAATATCTAAAATAATTGGTAATATCATTGGGCTCGCCACTGGCCCATTCTTGATCTGTATGTGCATATGAATGTTTGGAGATTCTGTTCTCTTTCAAAGCAACCTTCCCTCCCCGATGAGGACTATATTTTCTAGATGATCGGTGAAGCAAAACTGGATAGACCTTCTTCTATATCCAATTTAGCTTCGCCCACCACTTACATAGATCATCAAAAAAGACTAGAGTACGGGCTCGGTAAAAGATCTCGAGTGAAAGAAAGGTCTTGTAATACCACTTTCGAATACTGTTAAGCCGTTTGAATACCCAGCATTATTTTTTTGCAGCAATTTAAACTTCTTTCCTACCGAAATTTCAGTGGCGAAGTGGTTGTCAAATCTCGATAATCGTAATCATTTTCTTTCAAGGCGAAACATACACACAAAATCAGCTGATCTAGTAAGACCACTTTGTACAAATTCGCCTTGCCTTGATTGCAGCCAGATAAAATCTTATTGATTTTTTTTTATTGAAAATAATTTCAGAAATTTTTCGATGAAAATATGGATTTTCTAGGATTTTATTTTAATCGAAATTAGTTTATTATAAACTTATTTAGTTTATTATAAACTTATATATTTGTAGCAAAACAATTGGAGGTTTAAACTTTCGCTGATGCATAGTTTTAATTTTATAATTATTTTTTTTTTTAAACTAACTTCAGAGAATCTATGAAAAAGTTTTAATCAAAATGTAACTTTTCTTAAAATTTTTCGTCGAAAACTAACAGCCAGTTTCACTACAGCAATTTAAGTGAAAAATTATTATTTTGTGTAAATTAATATGAAAACTAACGTACATAAGTAAAAAATAACCTTTCACTTAAAATACTGATAAAACCGGCCTACCTCTATTTTCGGAACAATGTATTTAAATTTTTACTACCCTACTCTTTAAATTATAGTCAAAGCGTATTTTACTATTTTTTCTTTTATTGCAAATAATTTCAGAGATTTGTGGAAAAAAATAAAAAGTTTTTAATGGTTTAATTTTTTGTCGTAAACAATTTCAGAGGTTTTGCAAAAAAATAAATTTTTGAATGGATATTCTTTTTGTCGGAAGTTTCAAAAATTTTGCGAATAATTTTTTAGTCTTTTAAGTTTTGTCGAAAATAGTAAAGAATAATTTAAAGGTATTCGGGAAAAAGTGTTGAAAATCTCGATTTTTTTGGTTTTTGTCTGAAACCATTTAAATTTTTGCATTATTATTTTCCGTCGTAAGTTTTAGAGATTTGGCAGAAAAAAATTTAATTTCTTAATGTTAATTTTTTGCCGGAAATAATTTCGCAAATTTGGTGAAAAAAAATTTAAATTTTTGAATATTTTATTTTTGCAGAATAAAGTTTTTCCTGATAAAATATTTAGTATATTTTTGAGTTATACATAATTATTATATGTACATTAAAAATCTTTCACGAAATATTTAATTTTTTCCATTTTTTGTCTGAAGCCTTTGGTAAAAAAAATACTGAATTATTATTTTTCGTCGGAAGCCTCTTTTGTAGGAAATTATTTTAGAAATGTGGATAAAAATTTAAAGTTTTTAATGACTTAAAAGTTTTAGATACGAAACAATTTTGAAATTTTAAGTGTTCTAATTTTTTGTCTGAAACTATTTCAGCGATTTACAGCCAATTTCACGAAAACAATTTAAGTGAAAAACGATTTTAAATTTTTGAATTCCATATGGAAATTGACAGAAAATAAAAAATCATTAGCCATTTAAATTGCTGGAAAAAGCATCTGTCAGTGAAAAAATTTAAATTTTTGAATAATCATTTTCATCGGAAGTTTCAGAGATTTACCAATGAATTTTTTGAATGTTAATTTTTTGCTGGAAATAATTTTAGAAATTTGGCGAGAAAAAAAAATAATTATTGAAATTATCTATTTATTTTTTTTTTAGAAATTAATTAAATTGAAATTTTATTATTTTTACCGGA